ACCGGGAAAACCAAAATCGACACAAAAAACGGCCAAAAACTGGATAATTACACCCAAAAAACCACCCAGAAACCAACAAATCCGCCCAAAAACCACCCAGAAACCAACAAACCCACCCAAAAACCAACAAATCCACCCAAAAACCAACAAAACCCAACCACACCTCGCCGAACTCGCCTGGGACGGGCAACGGGGTCAATCCACCCGGAAAACCAAAATCGACACAAAAAACGGCCAAAATCCGGAAAAATACACCCAAAAAACCACCCAGAAACCAACAAATCCACCCAAAAACCACCCAGAAACCAACGAAACCCAACCACACCTCGCCGAACTCGCCTGGGACAGGGAACGGGGTCAATCCACCCGCAAAACCAAAATCGACACAAAAAATGGCCAAAAACTGGATAATTACACCCAAAAAACCAAAATGTAGCCAAAAATGCACACAAAATCCAGATAAATCCACCCAAAATTAGGAAAAATCTGGGTAAATCCAACTGAAAAAACAAAATCTACCCAAAAAACTGTATAAATGACCCAAAATGACCCAAAATTACCCAAAATTTGGCACCTGCCCCGATGACCTCGTGGAGGGCGACGCAGGCGGCGTCGATCTCCCAAAAAAGACCCAAAATGACCCAAAATGACCCAAAATGACCCAAAATGACCCAAAATGACCCAAAATTTGGGCACCTGCCCCGATGACCTCAGGGGGTGTAGATCTCCCCAAAATGACCCAAAATGACCCAAAATGACCCAAAATGACCCAAAATGACCCAAAATTTGGCACCTGCCCCGATGACCTCGTGGAGGGCGACGCAGGCGGCGTCGATCTCCCCGAAATGACCCAAAATCACCCGAAATAACCCCAAAATTTGGGTACCTGCCCCGATGACCTCAGGGAGCGTCGATCTCCCCGAAATGACCCAAAATCACCCGAAATAACCCCAAAATTTGGGCACCTGCCCCGATGACCTCGTGGAGGGCGACGCAGGCGGCGTCGATCTCCCCGAAATGACCCAAAATGACCCAAAATGACCCAAAAT